ACTAAATGAATAGGAACTCCTTCACTAGCGCACTAGCGTCGGGGTGTTCCACATGGATGGTCGGTGTGAAGATTGTTCAGTGATTTCCGTCAGCGATGAAAAATTCTGTGCTCACAATGAATTGCAACTCTAGTAACATCTTTACTCATATTTCAAGGTTGCTCCATAGCTCTCGGTAGTGACGGCGCATTTCTAGTGCTCACAATGGATTTTGACTCTAATGATATTCTCACTGACTTGACAATATTATCTAGTTAGCTTCGGTAATTGTAAAACAACCTCAATACACAAATCCATCAGCGATAATATTGATTGATTTGCGTGACTAAATAAATTGATTTTTACAGACTTGGTCACAAAACATTTAGTGTTCACTGATCCTTCTTTCCTGACGAAAATCTCTTCAAGTTTACTTCTCAGTTCTCTATTCTCTCACATGAAACCAACAAGTCAGAAGAATGCTCTTAGCGGCCTAACTGTGGCCGCTTTTTGGCCCATTAACGCCACCTATTCTTTACCGCTGCTGAATTGCAAATACTTGTAAGCTCACTTTGTAGACTACCACTGGCTACCGCTGCGTTTGTCCACTGTACTACCGTAATACTACCATAAGGAACGAAGTGGGCAAGCTGCCATTTGAAATCCAAAGTTTTGCAGTCGCCTAAAGTTTTGGAAACATTCAAAATAAGCTGTCTGACTTGTGTTGAATCAGAAATTGCATTCATATATTTGGTTATATGGCTTTTGGAAAGTCATACAATGAAAACAATAGCATGAGAGCTACCATGGTAAAGAATGCGACTTCCGTCTCGTTAGATGACCCCCACAACTCATCCAATAACTTCTTCATTCTATCGCAATCGGTCACTTTTGATAGTAGACCCATTTGTTTTGTGAGGCACAAAATGCTGACATTTGTTGAACTACGGAGGTATGCTTCGGGTTAATACGTTGATTATGCTTTAGGTCAATATACTGATTAGTGTCGAGAGAACATGATACATCCCAAGAAGCTGTCTTATTTAACGTCTACTTCTTTGTGCCTCAACTTTTCTGTTTTAACCCTATGGTTTGTGAATTGTAACCATAACTAAACTATGCTCCGATATTTGCAAAACTCCGGACCGCATGATTTGTTGTCGTAATTTTCTGGAGAAGATCTTCTTTCGAAGAAAAAAATTAGATACAGTATCTTTTAGCACTTTTCTAGCAAAGATAACTTTTATTTGTCAAAAATTTTCCACTATTTTTAAGGAAAAGTAGTTCACTTTAGTATTCGTATTTCTAGTGGGACCATGAATAGAAACAAAGTTTGTCACTCTTTTATTACATCGTAGAGCCCATTTTGATCTCTTCAGCTTAGTCTACCAGGCTGTGCAGAAGCTTCTATCCCGTGGCCAGGGTAAAAGTGACCCAATTCTAGCAAACGCTGTTATCCTCGTAAAACAGTAGTTGCCAGGTAGCACAAAGCGCTCTTTGCTCAATATAGATTAAAGATGGCAGCAACTGCTTCCGCTGCCATCTGGAAACGGCCATGCAGGGATGCCTTGGGACTCCAAGGAAGAACACCTTCCGCAGCAACAAACCGGTTTCAGCACACCGCAAAATGGACGCTCGAACTTTCGACGTGGGCAGTGAGAAAACCGGTAGGAGGCGACAATATTCCAGGTTTCATAGAACGTGACTGGAACCGGATCAAAGCGACATTTCTGCGGCGCACTGTAGACAGTCTTTGTGGGTTCGCACTTATAACACCAGTACAGTCTTCTTAAAAACCGACCATTTCTTTTGAAACGGAATTTTCCATCAAACTCGTAGAGTCGCCAAACAAGAGACCAGAAATAGGGAAACTTATATCCACCAAATAAACTATATCAACTTTGTTAACTGAGGAAGAATGATGCTATCATGAAAGATCGCAGGAGTTAGCTCTGTCACATATCCCTTCGTCAACCATCTCATCAACTAATATGTAACCATGCAATTTGAGTTGATCATCGACTTTCAACCGACGCATAAAATGAAAGCCAATATCTTCATTTTCTAATCACCAATCTGTACAGCTTATGACAGCGAATTACATGCGTCCCATGATTATTTAAATGAAGTGGTTGGCAAGGAAAAGTTTTTCTATAAGTTTAACTGCTGAGGACGTGAACACCAGATTTGTGCAGGATTGAAAAGTTGGAAATGAGAGAACGAAATGAAAATTAAGCGTGAAGATACGAGGATTCTGTCCACGATACGCTTTATTCATAGGAATTGATTTGTAAGGGAAAACGGACCTAGTGGCCCGACTCATATAGAGACATCGAGCATGTTCTCTTCGCGAAAATTATCGTATCGTGCATTCAAGGACTTTAGTTGATGCTTAACTATCTCGGCAAATAGGATAACAGCAATCATTGATAAGTCAATTATAGCATAGAACTCTGCCAAGAATACCATTCACTTCCTATTCTGATTGCGAAAAGCTGTTCGAAATTGTCAATACCAATTCATTCTGTAATACCAGAATCAAGTGGGCCCGTTCATTCTAAAGAACTCTACCCAACTCCTCGCACCTGCATCACGGAGATTTGTAATAAACTTTTGCTCAGTTAACGACATCAGCATCTTTTTGAACAGTAATAGCATAGTAGGTCAACGAGGTTAGGAAAAGACTAATGCTAAATTGCAAGAGAACCTAGTTCATAGAAGATCCAAGAGGCGATGGAAGAGCATCGAAAAGAACTGTTTTGTAGTGTATGTAGTAGTAAAGGAATAGTGTCTGAGCGTGATGTGATATGTGCTACGACAGTCTCATTTGCGGAGAATCTACACCAGACCCAGAAATTGGGTAGCTCAACCTTTATCCATACTTGCATATATGTGAACAATATAGACCAGAACAGGACAATGGAATTATTAGTGGTAACACGAAGAGTAGAGAATAATATCATTGATAATAGAGGACAGCCTCTGTAATGGATTTATTAAGTATGAGGAACAAGTAATATATACAAGTATAACACAATTAAGGAGAGTGAGGGCCAAGCAGTAGTGCAAAGAGAGACGATCGGAAATGGGTCCACAAGTGAGTGGCACTCTTTATATACCATTTTGATAGGGCTGGGGCATTTGCGACGTTCATAGAGTGAAAGGTAGGTCTACCAGGTTACGAGAATGATGTGACAATTGATTATGGAGAACCTTTGATGGATGTGTATTGCCCCAGCCGCAGAATGGCCTGCATCATGCCATCGAGCAATAATAGCCGTGACCTTGTGATTTCAAGTTGGTCATGCACTAGTACATTGTAATACACTAGAAACGTAGTATACGGGACAATACAACAAACATGTAGAGATTGCGGCAGTATGGAAAGGTATTCGCTGTATAACAGAGAATAATGTCTGTAGATTATTTTCTGAGACTTTGTATGATATGTGTGCTTGGCGTGTTTAATAAAGATACAAAACGACATAGGGAAGGAACTCCCGGTAATCAAATGATGAGCGTTAAAAATTGCACGCTTCTTGTCAACTCAACGATCTTTACACTAGTCTTCTATGTAGCTTAAACGTGGATTTTTGCCTCCTTGAACTAGTTCGTGAATCTTACGCAGTACCCAAAAGAACATTTGAACGATATCTGTTAGATCATACTTGATATATACATCGTCTATCAGATTCAGGAGAGTGTAATATCTATATCCGGGACAAAGCGAGAAATAATGACACATAAAACGTCGAACATTGATAGCTTGTCATGTGATGAAAAAGGCTGACTATCTATCGACGAGGAAAACCTCAAAAGGATGCGGACTTTGTCAAGGGCGTAGCAGCTTTAAGATAGGCGAACGTGTAGAAATAACATCTATCAGATTTATGCTCAGCTTATGAATTTTTGTGAACCCCTACGGTTTGTGAATTATCGAGCAGTTCTCGCAGAACTCACTTTGCTTGAAAAAGGTTATAAACATGGATTATTGTCGCGAAGGAACGAAATGAATGGAAAATATATTGACGTCCGCATGACTCATAAAGACACAAACATCAATAATTGAATTCTGCAAGGATTTTATGTATCTGTTTTGTTTTTTCTGGTAGAATTTTACCATTTGTTTCCGTAGTTTTTGGAGCATACTGTGTAGAAGGAGATTAAAGATTGACTCGATTCGTTAAAATACGTGCGTCATGTTGTTCACTCTGTTTTAGGCTTAACGTGGCTGGTGCTAGACGTTACAGTAATCTTATTTTGTATCATAACTTGCAAACAACTATGATTAAAGTGTACAATGAATAGTAGTGTGGCAGTTTTTTCTGTCATAAACGTGGTAAGCCAAAAGGAAACTATTGCGCTAACCCGATAGCACACCCATTTGTATTCGTACCTCGCCTCCATTACAGTTTTGAAAATGGGGGTGTACTACCCCATTTCGGTCTCTTCGACGGCTTGAAATAATATAGGACTTCGTGGCCGCACCACTGAGATGAAAAATAGTGTTATAGAAAATTCGTAGCTAAAATCCTGATAAATTCTAGTAAGTTTGAAAACTACTTCAACACTACTTTGTACACTTCCTTTCACAGTATCTTATCTACATACCTTATGTTATCATTTTGTGACCAAAGTTTCCGTTCCGTGTTGTGAATGCTTTGTTGATTTTCGTGCTGACCATTAAGATTAACGGATTGTGGACTGAGATTCACTTTCCCTTTTACGAAACTCTACCAAATCGAATCGTTGATGGTTCTCGTCTTTTGTGTCTGATAAATCATTTCCTGTTGGTGCTGACAATCTTCGCGATCATGGTCGATCCGACCCTGAAAGTTTCTATACCGTTCCTATAGCTTGAAATCGAAAGTTTTTCCAGATCGGCGTCATCTTCTCATCTGCAACGCGTACGTGCGTGAAAACGATTTCTGTTTGCTGTGACATTTTTCCCTCATTCGAGGAACTTTCGAGAACTTCTACGTAGACAATACGGTTGCCAGAGGTGGTCACCTGGTTTTGGCATGGCGTTGGCCGCCTCGCCAAATCCATTACAGCCACTTCACAGTAGAGCTGTCGAAGCTGGTATTCTCGAAAAATCGGCCAGGTCAGCTGCTTATTACTTTTAGCCGGTCATTTCTCAGTAACATAAAACGTTTATAGAGCTACTTCAAATCACGGTCAATTATCTTTCAGTTTTTTTCTCAAAAATTTCGTCACTTTGCCACAGCTCCTTTACTGTGCTCGATTTTGGAAATTGGAGCGGTTTGTCCAGTGTCTATTGCCAGGCCCTATACTTAGGTCAGCTTCGAAAAAGCAGCTAAAGGAAATAACACCTTTTGTTACATAATGGCTTTAAGAATTATCGGCTATTGGGTATCTATAGGCTCCGTAGGCAGAGAAATTATCGACTGATTACCAAAAAATATCCGAAAAGGGTTCTTTGCCAAAATACTTGGATATTTATTTGGACATTTAGATGGCCCGTCCTCACTGCTTGTGCAGGCCCTAGCATAATCTCCGTTTTTTCGGAGTTTTGTTGGTTTAGTCATTGTTGTTCCCTGGAGTCTCGTTGTAAGCCAGGCCAAAGTCTGCCCCAGGTCGCCGATAGCATAGGTAGTTGCAGCCTTTGTGGATCAAAGGGTGATTTGCCACCATGCGACTAGTTTGGTATCCGAGCGGTGACGGATCCTGGTATTGGTTTACTTAGTTGGGCTTCCTAATAGAAACGCCGGACTCCTTCTCATCTTGGGAGACTTTGCTGAGTGGATGAACCTCCTGTTCTACATCGCAGCCCAACACCCAGGAAGGCCTACCAGCCACGATGAGGCGGTAAACCGTTAGGAGGTTTTGGGAACTTTTGCAAAAAATAAACGTCAGAAGCAAAATAACATCTGTGGAGATTACATGGGCCATAATATCCATAATGAATGACATCTATAGAGATCACTTCATCGCCAATGCGTTAAAAAGTGCTCTTGAAATTATACACACAATATGTAGTTCTTACACACTGATCGAGACGTAGTAGATAATAAATTAGTCCTACTCGTAATACTTACTCATGCAGTACCTCAGAGAATTTCGGTGCCCTGTGTGTATGGCCCACTTTGCTGAACTTCTTTTAAAGCACTGCTTAATCATTCTTGAGAATGAATCGAGTAGAACTCTTGACTTTCGAGAACTTTCGAACTCTTGACTTTTTCAGCATTATTGTTAAAATTTTAGATAGGTTTGTCCTATTTCTTATCAATGCTTTCGCTAACGGTACTTTACCAAATGCTGGATAAGCAAGTGGACAAATGCCAAATTCTAGTGATTATGTGACTTCTTTTCTTGAATGCTGGAGTTTTCTCTTTTTGCTAGCAGAAGAAAATCTTGTGCATGTGGGATACTTCGTATCAATGAGGAACCTTGAAACAACAAACACGTCGATTGGACAAAAGGTTCGATTTACTAATATGTGGCCTGTCTCTTTACAGTGAACTCAAAAACTCCCAAATTCTACATTCATTGGAAAAATGGAATTGCGAATTTCCGTGTCAAAAACATAAAATGTATATATCTTTCTACTTTCTATCTTTCTACTTCTGTTCAGCAAGCACGAGGTACTATTTTACTTCTTTATTCACGCACAAGTTGACGTTTCGGCGGATTTCGCCTTCCTCAGAGCCTGGAAGGGTCAAGTTGACAGCAATCCATTCGGCCAAACACCTCCATAACCAAACAGAGAAAACACTAAACCAAGATTTCAATCCCATTTAGCATAGCTCTGCACACTCACCGCTTTCTATGAGTCTTCCACTGAGTATGTCGCGTGAAGACCGACCGCACAGAATTCACATGGAAGCGTAATGTGCTCCTCCCATCAGAATAACAGGTTTATATACTGCCCAATATCACGCGTGATAACGAGGCATTCCTCCCTGCGGTTCATTTTCGGATTCTTGGAATTTATCCAGAATGCCTCTAGAGTTTTGCGCGCTTGTGTTCTCGATTCTTGCGCGAGGATCGTAACCATTACTTCAAAATCTTCTCTGTTATGTTTCTGCGTGCTATGCGTACCTAGTGGAGTACTTAGCTTACGTTTGCCGACTAGGTGTTCTTTTATACGTAGGCAGAGTGGCCTACCCGTTTCGCCAACGTATTCGTCCCCGCACGCTTTACAAGAGATCAGATAAACTGAACCCGAACTCATGCAGTCGCAGTCTCTACCATTGGGGCAAATTATGCAATTTTGCGTTGCACATAGACGGTCGTATAGGCGGTTACGAACTAGCTGGCGCCTTAGATTATTCGGTGGTACGTCGATTATAATGTGTATAATTTGATGTATTATGTGATGCAGCGCACGTGTGGCGCAGTGGCCGGAGGCGCCCTGCAACACATGTGGAGCCGATCCCCGCGCTCGTGTCCCACCTTTCATCTCTTTGGGGTTGGAAAATTGTTACCTGACTTGACTGGGAGGATAGCAGCACTGGCTCGATACATCAGCAAGCTACCGCGAGTTATTGTAAAGGCCAGATATGCATTCAGTCACGTCCAACGATACTTAATGGAGTCGAATGCATGGCGCATCCCTCAGGGGTTGATCAACGCCGAGATCTTTATCCTTTTCATCCTTTTATGTGATACAGATGTAATATAGTATTCAGCCAAAGAAAGCACAAAACTGTTTATCCATTTGAATAATGACTGAGAATCACAGTGTTCATAGATGCCGTACAATACACGGATCGTCCCTGTTCAATTCTGCACTCAACCAAATAACCTTCCGCATTCCCATCCCACTGTGGACAGTAAATTATTGCCAGATGTGTCTAGTGAAAAGTCTCTACCACTCACAGGGTTCGACTATTCCCTTCTATGATGAATTGGAAAACCTATACCACAGTCTTCCTAGGACATTAAGAACACTAGATGCTCAACTTGAAAGCGAACCCATCTGCAAATCCTAAGGCCTTCGTGGATAACGGATGCAAAGCAGCTAATTTGATAAGGTAATCCTTAAATGGGCACATATGTGAGAACGAGCCATTCAGAAAAATTGACATCAATGTAGGAAATCCCTCATCTTCTCACAAAACGTATCAGCTTTTTATGTTATGAGATTTCGAAGTTTCTTAATTAGACTACATGATACCAGTATTACTGAGTTCTACTACCTTTAAACCTTGAAAAAATGTCAACAATCTTTATAAGGGCATTTTAAGAAGGAATCGAAGTAGTGGAACTGTGGAGAGGCAAAGTACAAAAAATATATTTTTTGGATGTTAATTTTTATATTTACTGCCTACTACAATTTTTCACGGCAGGACATGTGTGATACAACCACAATGGTGTTGAGATATTTGCAAAACTTAGGACCGCAAGTGTCTGTGGTGGGAAACTAACACGCTATTACCCTTTTCGGGGGCTCCGCAGATCATTCCCGCTGAGGGTCATTGCTGATGACACTGGTTAATGAAACTAGCTGAGAGACAGACAAAACGACCCACATTGTGTGGTGGTGATCGCGTTAGCCCCAGGAAAGGGTAATAGCGCGTTCGTTCCACGCCGCAGATATCTGCGGTCCGGAGTTTAGCAAATATCTCAGCACCAGTGTGGTAATTGTTTTTGAAATATTTTTTCCTGTTTACGAAAGAGTGAGGTCTCTTTTTAGCCTTCTACCGAGTTTGAGACTTGAAGAGTTGGTTACTCTTATTGTTATCGTCACGGCAGTATTTTTCAAAAGTCTTCCAATTGGTGTCGTACTAGGACTTTTATTATCAATTTATATGGCGTTCGTTTACGGTGATTTCATCTACCGTTCATACTTAACACTGAATCGTGATCTTAGGTAAAGTTTTGTCTTATTCTTAACGCTTCGTGTACTTAGAGAAACGTTGTCTTGTATTTCAGTGGTCTATTCTTAATATTGGACATTAAATTCGACTTATGGAAAAAATTACGGGAAAATAGAGGATTACACGACATCTTTCTGGAAGTCGTTAAAAAGTACGTATTGATTGACAATTTCAACTCTGCCTTTCATCGTCATCGTAGTGATTTTGCATACAAGCAATATTCTTTCCAGAAATCGCGATAAAACAGCAATGATCGACATTGAAACCGGACGAGTATTCAGTTTCGAAGAGTTCAATAAGGAATGTAATCGATATGCAAATTACTTCCAGGTTCAGAACTATCCACTCTATTCTTACATATTGTAAATATAAGACTAATGGAATTATAAGCATATTAGAACACTGTTCAAAATACTTTAAACGAAAATATCGAATTGCTGTTTACACTATCAATACGGCATTGTTGGGGCAGACCTTGGCTAGGCTGACGTCAGGTCTCTAGGGCACCACAATAGGTAAATCAGTAAAACTCTGAAAAAATGAAAGTTTTGCTGGGTCCCGCGTAACCAGTGAGGAGGGGCCATCCCAGTTAGTATCCAAGTATACAGCGTTATTTTCCAACGAATGAACTCTTGACTCAATACATTTTCATTGTGAATAGGAACCCTAACTTCATGCCATGTCAATGCGAGATTTTTTCAACGACTATGATCAACTATTATTTACCTACTTTCTATTAATATTTAATCGGTGGAGGTATTAAAATCCATCTTCTTCAATGTTTCCGATTAGATAATTATTCCTGAGGCTGGAAGAAACAGTGAGGTTTGAATCAAAATTCGCAGCTGTAAGAATTACTTGGAGTCGAAGTCAGTAGTACTCAATCGATACCTTTTTGATGACACTACTTATTTAAGAACGTATAGGCATAGGCTGTACTTTAGGAGAAGCATAGGCTCTATAAGAACGTTTAAGTCTAGCATGTTATCCTTTACAGGGACAAGGATTTCGTGCTGGAGATGTGGTGGCACTTTTTATGGAGAATTCGGTGGATTTTGTTGCGGCATGGATGGGACTGGCGAAGATTGGTGTGGCAACAGCATGGATAAATTGTAATCTAAAACGTGAACCTTTGGCACATTGTATTCAAACGAGTAGCGCCAAAGCCATCATCACCACTCGACTTCTTCAGCCAAGTAAGTTAAAGATGCTAAGCACCTATTTGAGTTTATGAAGTGTAACCATAACGATGCTGAGATATTTGCAAAAACTTTAGGACCGACGGTGTCTGCGGTGGGGACCGAACACGCTGTTGCCCTTTCCGGGGTCCAACGCGCTCACGACCACATCATGTGAGTCCTTCGTTAGCCTTTCTCTCAGCCCTGTTATTGATCCAACGAGATTGATCCAATAGACGAATAACACTGCTCAGAGAAAGGCGAAACGTAGTAATCGCGTGGTGTGATGGAAAGCACGCTGGACCCCGGAAAGGGCAACAGCGTGTTCGGTTCCCACCGCAGACACCTGGGATCCGGAGTTTTGCAAATATCTCAGTATCGCTGTGGTTATAACTCACAATACCCTTCCATTATGGAAGGGTAAGCAGTAAATGAAAAGTGATGAGTCTATGAAGTATGTTTGAAAATCTTTAAGATCGTATGAACGCTCTTTATTTCTTTAAGCATTGGATGAGACGATCAGTGCTGAATTGTTCTCATGCCAGAATGTAAATCTCTACGTGATCGGTGATGCGCGAATGAATCCACGGTTCATACAGCTGTCTGAAAAGTTACAATCTCAACGCACATTCGAGCCAAAACAGCGTGATGTTATCGACTTTAAAAGTTTGTGAATAAGCTTCTCGAATTTTTTTCGTTTTTTCCTTTTTTCTTATTTATTACTACCTTTTCCATATTAGCTCTCTTCGTCCTCGATTTGGTACTCGTTTGAAAAACTAGGCTAGGTCAGTTTTCCTCAAATCACTAAGTTTGAAGAGGCATCAGAAATTTAAATGCATCTCATATAGACATTTTAATAATTAAGTGCACTCCTTTGCTTTTTAGTTTTTTCATAATGTTAACAAATCTTTTGGTAAAAATACGCAGAACCTTGTTTATTTATTAGCTTACCCATTTCGCCGAAAACTTTAACATACCTGTTCCGTCGTTCTATCACTACACTTCTTCAGGTATATTATGCTATATTTATACAAGTGGTACAACAGGTTTGCCTAAAGCTGCCGTCATGAAGCACTTCAGGTAACGAAAATGTTCATTTGTCTAAGTTTCCAGTATTTTTCCTCTCCTAATCTTTCATTCAAGGTATTATTCGATGGTAATTGGTGCCGCAAAATCGTTTGGAATTTATTCATCAGATAGAATCTACGTTTCTATGCCAATCTATCACACCGCTGCTGGTATTCTTGGTAAGAGTTCCAACGATAATTTAACCAACGATAATTTATTCGCCCAATAGCCTTTAATGACTTTTATGAGTCCTATATTAAATACTTCATACATTTGTATAAATGATAACTTCAATGCTATCTTGCAGTTCGTCTTTGCATCTTCCACAGGTTGGAAACTAGGTTCGATTGTAAAACTTCGAAAATTCATAATGTTTTTCGTTTCCGTCACACCTCAACTGTCGTCTGGTTCAGTTGATTATAGAAAGCGGTGAAGTTGTTGGCATTCAATGACTATTCCAAGAACTGTGAGCGAGTTGTAATCAGGATCACCCTCACCACTAGGTTTTCCTCTTCAACTTATGGTATTCATCTGCCAAGACGCACCACATCATTTGTGCTGTGGTTACCCTGAATCCCTTGACTCAAATCACGTTTGTATAGTATTTTGTTTGCCTAAACGATAGAAGATCCTTTGAAAGTCAGGCATGTTCTGGGTATCCAGTCGAATTGAATGTGTGATATGAGATCACCGCTTAAACGAGCTCCACTTGGACTTCAGACGCACCGTGTTTTGTACCTGTGTCGAGGCTGACTATTCTTACTCGATGAAATTAAGGAACTTGTTGTTAATGCTCATGATAATTAACATTTATAAGTGATTGTCCCATTAAAACTTTACCCAGATATGCCATCATTTGGGCCACGTACTCCACTGTCCGACTGAGGCTGAATTTTCACGGCAGAAAGTGGCACTCTTAATTTGGACGTCAATGTTTAGCGTTGAACAATGTAAGCCCTCCATTCACCGCAGCTACCACGGCTAAGGGCTGCTGTAATCAACTTAATAGATAGAGAGTACTTTCCGGGTTCATAAAGTCGCCCATACAACGAAATTGTTCTGCAACAATGTAGCAAAATATATAGAATGCGATGTTGACAAGCGAAAAGCTACTCGACTTCGGATAGAATCACGGCGCTTTCATCTCCTACAGTTATATGGTGTAATTCCTGTAGGCTCTGTGGTTAGATGTCTTGAGATATTGTCACCAACTCGAAGGCCTTCGTGGGATTTGGCTTAAAATTTACACAAGCCATGCTGCAGTGATTCTTTTTCGTTCCAGGTGTTGGTCAAGCGCTATGTCGAGGTTCGTGTTGTGTCATTCGGAAAAAATTTTCGGCAAGTAATTTCTGGAGAGATTGTGTACAATACCAATGCACTGTGAGTCCATAATTATGCCTTGAATCCCTGAAGTTCCGCTTCTTTTTTCTTCCGAAGAAATTCTTCATGGATTTTTTTTTCATTTAGTGGAGTTTGAAATAAATCCCGGCTAGTGTTGACAAAACCATCGTGTTGTTTTTGAAAAACAGGCTCAATTTCTCATAAAATTGCTATATTGGACCTCTCTGGACCTACCTTTGTTTGTGGGCGTGGTTCCAACGTCTGTTACCCATGAAAAACGTTTCATTTCATGCTACTAAAAGATAAATATTGCGATATCAAACTTATTCTTCGTGAAGACTACTTTTATTAATTATTTCATATCTGTCAGTTTTGAAATGCTGTAGTTCCGTTGTTCTCTTTTTTACAGCAATCGCGAGGTTGTTATTCAGCACACGTTTACTTCCTTACAAATATAACACATACAACACAACGGTAGCTGACGTTTCGGCAATATCGCCTTCTTAAGAGCTTGGAGGGGTACACTGATATGTAATTTACTAGGTCAAACGCTTCAACAACGCAAACAGAAAGGTGAAAGTCCGAACAGTAATTACACGATCACCGGCTTCTCGAAAAACTCACCGTTTTTACTTGTTTTCCACCAAGGAAGAACAGCCGCTCAAAGCCGCATAGACAGACATAGAGTCGTATCAGAACTAGGTAGGTGTTATGATAACTGAGGAATATCTTAGTGACGTTACCGTTTATCGCTCATCATCTGAAAGGGAATATAAAAGTCAATACCGAAAGATAAACAACCAATGGGTCAGAGTGGCAAATGTTGCAGGTTTAAAATCACCGGTTATTTCGCACTTCAAAATCGATAAACCAACACGTTGCGTCCTATACCTACTTATTAAAACACATAGGTTGGTATCACCTGATGATCTTGCGTCAACTAATCCGTCATCATTTAAGGTTAGACCAATCATCAGCCGTCTAGACGGGCAAACGGAGAGGATAACCTGGTTTCTAAGGCTAATATTAACCCAGTTGCTTAAACATATTCCAGCTCACCTCACGAGCACCTAAATGTTCCTCGAACGTCTACGTAATGCGTCTCCTAACAACGCGTACGTGATGGAGTCTTTCGACGTTACTGCGTTGTACACTAACGTATCGAATGACTCCGCAATGCAAGCCATCTTCGAACTTCTTGTTGAACATGAAGGAAGAGTAAATATGCATGGCTTTTCCATCCAGCAGCTAATGGCTCTCTTAAAGGAGTGCCTAAGCTGCTCGATCTTCAGATGGTCTGGGAAATATTTCGCGCAAATAAGGGGGTTGGCAATGGGACAGCGATTGGCACCAAGCCTTGCCATTGCGCTTATGTCTAAAGTAGAAGCCCCTGTTCTCGGTCACCGGCCACTGCTCTACTGCAGGTACATAGATGATTGTTTTGTCGCCTTCTCTACGCAGGAGGAGATGGGCAAATGTTTCGAATTATTGAACGAGCAGTCTGAGTACATTAAGTTTATCCGCAAGAAACTGAGAAAAAACTGGCCTCCGTCATTAAATGTTCAAATAAACCAATTAAGCAGCGCATACTTGACCAAGTGGTAGCGAAAGCCAAGTAAAAAGGACATTCTCGTTCATTTCCTTTCTTCCCATCCTTCACACACAAAGAGGGCGATTGTGAGAAACATGTTTCGAGCAGCCACCTCTGTGTGCACTGGTAAGGAACTAAAGGAAGAATTGCGCAACTTGCCTCGGAAAATAGCCATCTCCAATGGCTACAAAATAGTAACACCACGAGATAAGTTTAGACGGAGCGCGACGCCCCAAAACGAAGGGTTTCGGCCGAAACAAAATCCCGTTTATCTTGCCCTTCATTAGGAATGAAGTGTAGCGATAAAGCGATGCTTAAAAAGGGCTGATCTAGAGGAATCGGTAGCGATAGTTGAAATACCACCGGCTACTCTACGTCGTCAGTTAGTTCGTAACCCCCTGTATGACCGTCTATGTGAAACAACAAATTGCGTAATTTGTCTTTACGGCAGGGACGGTGATTGCATGAGTTCAGGTACGATATACCTGATCTCTTGTAACAATTGCGGAGATGAATATATTGGCGAAATGGGCAGACTTTTACGTATCCGCATAAAAGAACATCTAGATGGCAAACGAAAATCAAAGCAAGGCACGCCACTAGGCACGCAAGGATACTAAAACATAGCGGCGAAGATTTTGATGTAAAAGTCGTTGAAATCGCACGGAAAACCAAGACATTGACGCGCAAATTTCTCGAGGCCTTTTGGATATATTCCAAAAATCCGAGAAAGAATAGCAGGGAAGAATACCCTAAGATAGCGCGTGATCTAGTCTTCTGAATAAAGATGATGAGCATCTTCTCAGCTTAGGTGACGCCGCCAACCGTGCGTAACACCTTCTTGTCATGACCAGGCAGTAAACCAATGAAAAGAATCTTCACTGCAATTTCACAGCCGATTCTATAACGAT